GTCCAGTGAATAATGAGTCAATCATGGCGTTTTACTTCCGTTAGCGGTTGTTCAGAACTGTAACAGAAAGCTAACAGCAAACATCCACTATTCCTCTAGTGCCGGAAACAAACTACCGTAATAAGTGTAGCAAGTGCTCCCTACCGTAAAAGACCCAAGAGTGCTAGGGATGCTTGGATCAGTTTTTTTTTTGCTCCCGATCCGATTCCAGTCATATGATTTTGAGTATCTGTTGATACTGCGTCTCGATCCGACCCTTATTAGGAAAGCATTAAAATAATTAGAATACAGATCAAAGTTGTCCTTTAAGTTTCACTTTAACTTATTAAGGAAGTACATTGAATAAAATTGTGTTTGCATTATGAATATATTTAAAGGTAGCAGTGTTGCTTTTGTTTCAAGTTGTTTACTCCCTCATTATGCAGCGACATTGATCAATGCATGTTGCCATGAAGAGGTAGGCAGGCGGAGCCTCGTCGGCAGGCAGGCAACTTTTTCCAGCACATCACCTGCAGCTTCAGCGCAGCTCCGGTGCTGCAAGAAAACTGGAAAACTGAACTTTCTGCAGGTTGTTGGCAATTTCTCGTTGTTCATTAGCATATCTTTCTCTGTCGGCTGGCTCCACGTTTTGTCAGACTTCACCGTGAACTGGGACTGTTAGTGGCAAACTGGGAATTAACGGAGATCGGTGATTTGCTTTGTTGATGCCTGAAAGGAAAAGCTGACGGTGAAATTAGTTTGTTTTGAAGCCAGCGAATCATGGAGCTGTGTCCTTCCCATCAAGTTGAATGTCCAGTATGCACACATTACAAGTGGCTGAAGGTCTGCTTTTATTGTCCGGTTTAAAATACCACCAAGCTGAAGACATTTTAGCTCTCCTGAGGAAACACAGGTGTTTCTCAATGCCAAGGAACCTCGCCTTCATGTCTTGGCCCCGCCCCGGTTGCCTAGGAGATACGTCATCAGGATCCACCACGTGTTCCAATGTTCATGTTCTACCGAGGCGTCTGTTCTCCGCTTGTTAGCCGTTTAGCTAGCTGAGCAAGGATACACGAGAGGTGTCTTGTAGCCTAGCCTTGGTCAAAAATTACCCACAATACACTGCAGCATTTTCAAAAGGATGGCGGATCAGAAGCCGTCAGCTACTTCTGGGGCAAATTTCAAATTTAAAAGTAAGTCAGCTAATTAAAAAAGTTTTTTTAGATCCAAAGAAAGTCAAGTCAAAGTCAAAGTCATTTATTGTCATTTCTACCACATGTGCAGGACATACAGAGAAACGAAATTGAGTTTCAGTGCACACAATTCAAAGATCAGACATACGTGGGTAAGACACATGACAAGAATTGGTGACTGCGGTCATTCGCAACATGAGACGCGCTACCTTAATAGATAGATGAAAAGGGTGTTACATGAGGATAATTTGGGGTTAAGGTAAAAAAAGGCATAGCAGAGTTAGACCCAGCGGGGAGGAACTCTATTATACAAAAAAACTCCTCAACATAGATGCACAAACAGCACAGATACTGTAGGCAGACGGGACAAGAGCCTTGGGGAAGCAGATAAGGGAGCTGAGAAAAAAAGCGTCTGTACTCTCCGAAGGAGAGAAGTTAGAGAGAAGACAAAGAAGTTATCTATGGTTGGGTGGTTGCTTAGTAGTTGCAGCTTCGGTGGCTAGCAGGTAGTAGCTCACTTATATATTTAATTTAATAAACATATACACAATTTAAAAAGTAAAAGTCTCGTTACATATTTGTATTGAAATTAATACATCTAAAATATAACGTTATCTCCCGTGTCACGTGATGTCACGTGACCGCCGTGGAAGCCGCTGTCACGTGATGCAAGTCTGTTCCATTTAACCGTTTTCTCTGACCAAGGAAGGACTGTGTCCTTGTAAGCAAGGCGCCTGGCCTCGCGAGACATCACCTCGCAAGACCAGGCGCCTTGACATTGACAAACACCCTTTAGCTCTGCATTAGCCTGCTTGCTAGCAGCTGCATCTTGGTGACTGAGTCCCTGCCTGCCATAAACTGCGTCACGTTTAAGTGTTGTGTTTGTACAAGAAACAAATAATATTGATGTAGAAGAACTTATCGAAATGAAAACTAAACCATTTTTATTCTACTTGAAAATTTGTAGAGCCCTTCCTCCTCCAATCTGCAGTTTCCAGTGTCTAAGGCCTTCTGGTTTAAATCAACCAATCAGCAAATAGCTCATTAGCATATTCATGTCCTGGCCAAGTGGGAGGGGTAAACAGCTGATTTAAGGGGGTTAGAATGGCCTGTATCAGGGCTCCTTGTTCTGCTCTTCCTAACTAGTCCACCTTCCTCAGAATCCACTGATTTCCCTCTTTCCTATTCACTCTCTCTCTCTTTCTTTACATTTTTAATCACAATTGTCTATTTTTGCTCATTCTAAATATATATTTTTATCATTTTCTAAATTCTTTTTTATATTTTAAATTTTTTTTGTGAAGCACCTTGTGATTTTTATCTTGAGA